GTAGATCTCTGCAGTTCATCCAGAGTGATCATGGGCCTCTTGGCTGCATCTCTGATCAGTCTTCTCCTTGTGTGAGCTGAAAGTTTAGAGGGACGGCCGGGTCTTCGTAGATTTGCAGTGGTCTGATACTCCTTCCATTTCAATATTATCGCATGCACAGTGCTCCTTGGGATGTTTAAAGCTTGGGAAATCTTTTTGTATCCAAATCCGGCTTTAAACTTCTCCACAACAGTATCTCGGACCTGCCTGGTGTGTTCCTTGTTCTTCATGATGCTCTCTGCACTTTAAACGGACCTCTGAGACTATCACAGAGCAGGTGCATTTATACGGAGACTTGATTTCACACAGGTGGATTCTATTTATCATCATTAGTCATTTAGGTCAACATTGGATCATTCAGAGATCCTCACTGAACTTCTGGAGAGAGTTTGCTGCACTGAAAGTAAAGGGGCTGAATAATTTTGCACGCCCATTTTTTCAGTTTTTTATTTGTTAAAAAGGTTTGAAATATCCAATAAATTTCGTTCCACTTCATAATTGTGTCCCACTTGTTGTTGATTCTTCACAAAAAATTACAGTTTTATATCTTTATGTTTGAAGCCTGAAATGTGGCAAAAGGTCGAAAAGTTCAAGGGGGCCGAATACTTTTGCAAGGCACTGTATGTGAAATCAGTAAGTTCAAACCTGAGAAGAAGAGCATATGCGTAGCTGTTCTTTGTTGGCCCCCTGAGGAGGTGTAATATTATTGAAAAGGCCAGTGCGAAGACGAGGAGTCGGGACCAATAAAGTTTTCTGTGCCTGAGAAGATTATCACAAAAAATTAGCCACCAGACATTTACAGTTATTAGATGCAAAGCACTGATGTGCCTAAAATGAGGATGCAATACAGAAACTTTTATAATCTTATTTAACAAGTTCTGGAGTCTAAGTGAGGGCTTCCTTTTTCTTAAATATTTTTAAACAGTTTTAAACCCCCACTCATAGATCAAATTGACACGGTTACAAAACAAACAAGACACAGTAAATACAGCCTGAGACAATCTGGTTATTTTTCCACACTGCAGTGCTACCTGTAGCACTGCCAGCCGGGCACCCTCCAGAGGTTTATCGGGATCCACCTTCACCTCAGCTGTCTGGGTGAACCCCTGCAGCTCAGACACCCTGGCACATGCTGTGAAAGCACCCTGGTTGAGAGGAGAGGAAGGCATAAGGGCTGATGATAGTTTGATTATAGCAACTTACTTCCAGAGTGACAAAGCGTGCCTGCTGCTGGGGCCTGTCTGGGTTTACTTTGACTCTCTGGCTGGACTTGAACTCCTGCAGATCTGCAAGCTTGTCGCATGCTTGAATTGCACCCTGGCCAGTAAGTACACAATAAAGGAGACGCATAGGTGCATATAGACAGGACAGCCATTAATCTTTTAAAAAATCCAGAACATCAGTAAAGAGCTGCTGTGTTAACGTGATACCCTGGTGTTATTATTGAAGCAATTATTTTACGTTTATAGGCATTTACTCCCTTAAACTGTTATCTATAATCATTTAACACGTTCATTTACGTTCTCCCAACAGGAGCACAACCATACAACACAGTGACTTAAACTAGAGTCTAGGTTGTCATCTCTCTTGTTTGATTGAAAAGTGAGCTGTTAAAAGAGACACCTTTATAGTTAATGGAAAAGCAGAATATTAGTCTATCATCTAACTTTGCTGATTTTTAAGTATCAGTCCCTCCTTAAACTGTTATGAACATATGTGTGATTCTACACACTAGGCTTTACTATGTAATTTCATAACCTATTACTTAGAACTGCAATGATTAGTCAATTAATCTATTAGTCATGGAAAGAAAATTAATTGTCTACTATTTTGATAACTGCCTAAATGCAATTTGCATCTTTTCTTTGTCATTTGTGGTTGTAAATAACAAATAAGGTTGGTAAGGTTAGACAATAGAGGCCATCTTAAGAAGTCACATTTGACATTTTATAAACTTAAAAACCGTGAAAATAATCTGCAAATCAATTGATAATGAAAACAATCGTTACATGCAGCTCTAATATTGCTTTTCTTTAGGTCTGATGTTCTAGTTTGCCATATCAAAATTAACGTTAGCTCTGTGTGTTCTTCAATGTCTGCTCCTGAACTGTTCTTTTAGTTCAACTGCTTTAACCTGCCTTGAAATTTGGGATTCTGTTGTGAACAGGCCTTGGAAAATTGGCCAGATTGTTTTCTTCAATGTAGTCCCAGATTTTCTGACGGATGTCCCATTTCGACGCCCCTGGAAAGAAAACAGGACAGACACAGAGTGAAGCAAGAGCAAGACGCAGCAACGTTAGCTAACGTTAGCCAACCGTTTCCAACTGCTCCACATTGGAATAACGTTACATCGACATCCCCTTTAAACGACTAAACAAACGCCACGAACATTTAACTTACCAACAATTATTTGTATAACAGTCTCCATTATGTTAATGGGGATGCAGACTAGTCTCTTCTATAACGGAACAGGTTTTATGACCAATTCAAAGCGAAGCGAGACGAAGCAACGTTACCGTTAGCCAATCGTTTCTAACTGCTCCACATTCGCACGCATCGATATTCATTTTTAACTAAAAACAAACGTGACGATCATTTAACCTACCAGGATGTATCTCTAAAACAGGCTCCATTATGTTATTGTTGGTGATACAAATGAGTCTCTTCTATAACACTCGGTTACACGTCTGTCTTAAAGTATTACACGTGAGCTATGTAACATAATACTGAAGGAACAGCTGCTTGTCAGTGTTTATCATTTCTACGGCGGCTTAGGAAGCTCAATTATAACAAAACGCGAAACCTAAAGTCGCATTACAGTTTTTCTCGTTTGATTAAACACATCGCTGGAATTTATGTCTCCTTTTCTCAAACCTCTTAACACAAATCCATAACATCTCATCCAATTCCCCAAACTTCCTATTTTCAGGTCAAATGAAGCTATCCACTCAAAACCATTCAGTCGTGCTGAAAAAACAAACTTTGCCCTCAAACATGACACACAAGCCCTCAAAAACGCACACACTACAACACAGTGTTACACACTGGTGAGATAAATTCAAAACAATACTACAAAAACAAGTTATTATGTGGTTCTCCCCCTCAGAAACCTTTTCTCATGATGGACAAAACAAAAGAAATAACAAATGTAAACATTTTCACATTTTTTATTGTACTATACAGTACAACACACCAAACAACAAATCATTCTGCCCCATCGTCCTGTCTTTTGTCTGGGACAGGCCACAGATTCTTGTCCTCCACCTCCTTCTCCACCCTACTCCTCCTCTTCCAGCTCCGCCTCCTCTTCCTCCTCCACCTCCTCATCTTCCTCCAGTCCCATCTCCTCCTCTAACTCCAACTGTTCCTCTTCCTTCGCCTCTTACTGCTCTCTACATACTGCTCTTCATCCTCTCCCTTATTGTCCTCCTTCTCCTCTCTGGTGTACTCTACCTCTTTCTTCACATCTTTCTGGATCCATTTCTCCAAAACTGAATGAACTGACTCTGGCCCTTTTCTATTGAAGGTTCTGATTGGTGCGTTATCAATTATGACTCCTTGTGTTTCCACCAGGGTAGCTGTGTGCTAATTGAGCTCACCCTATGCTGACTTGAGTGAACAATACTGAATGTCAGTGCTCTCTCAATGACGACATGGTGCAGGCAATAAGAAATGAAGGGATTTGTGTGTAGAATTTAGGGAAATGGGCGTGCTTTTTGAAAAATGGTTTTGAAATGTCAGTTCAAAAGCCTGGTTATAGCAACTGAGAAAAACTGTAAAGGCCTGAAGCTGCCAGGGTACCACACTGATCTCATGTAGTAAAATGAAGATGCATGCTTAGTGTGACTGTTGATGAAGAGGATCATAACATCCCATGTGTGGGATGTAATGACAGACAAGTGATCTAATGGAAATATAAGGGGAAATAGAACTGAACTGGCTGTGCTGGTTAAAAGCTTTTAAAATCTGTACCCAAAGCCGTTCTGTCTTTTGTCATTTACTCATTTATTGAAGTTATTGTTCTTCAGGTTTTACAGTGAAAGCAGAGAAAATCTAAATGTGTGGCTTCAGACAAAGATTGGATGTCCATCTTGAGGTTTTCATAGTCAGAACATACAAATAATTAAATATTGAGACATATCTCCACCAAGGACAATGTCTACTACCAGTATATCTATATTAATTTATTGCATTAAATAATTTACTAATTAAAAATTCCTTCATCATGTGTTTAGTACCTTACTTGTGTCATCCTTTGTTTAAAGATATCAGTTAGACAAATGAAACTGAATGCTAAAGGAGGAACACAATGGTGGGAAACATCATAATGACACTCAAAGGCCACAACAGCTTGCTGAAACATTGCTCTCCCAGTAGTGGTGCTCTGAGTTTTCATTAAATGTAAGATATTTTCTATTTATCAGGGTCACCAAGCTATGTACACATTCTGTCACATTCATTTGGCCTTGTCTTCTCTGCGTTCTGTGTTCTGATTCTTGTTTCTATCTGTTTCTTGGTTTTGGTCTTTGTTCTGAGGTTTTGGTTTTGTATCAGCGTTCTAGTTCTGTCCTCTCTTCTGCCTTGTTTATTCTTACGTTAATTTGGATATCAGCTTAGTTCAGGTACTACCTGTTCTCTCGTTCCTGCTTTCTTGTCTTGGTTCTTAATCTTGTGTCTTAGTGTGTAGTCCTGGCTCTGTGTTGAAGTTCTTAGTTTTGAATCTTAGATCTGTTCTCTAGTTCATTGTTTCCCGTTTAGATCAATCTGGTGTTTGTTTCATGCTTGTTTGCTGTCTGCCTGTCTTATTATGTTCAGTTTGTATTCTGCATTTAGGTTTGGTCCTGTCAGTTTCCCCTGCTTTTTCTCTGCCTGCCTGTGCTCCTGATTAGTCCCTGATGTCACTCACCTGTGTATCCTCTCCCTGCTCGTTAACCCTGTGTATATATTGCCTGTGTTTCCCTGTCTGTGTTCAGTCATTGCTTGTCATGTGTGATGTCTGCTGCCTGATTCTTAAGCTTGTTTCATGTAGATTTTTGGATGTTGTGTTTAGTTTGGGATCAACTTGTTTGTTTATGTTGGGTTTTCTGGACATTTCTGTCTCTTTAAACTACAGTACAAGGTGGTTGTTTTTTTAAATATATAATACATTGTGATTGTGTGTGTGTGTATAATCTGGACATTGCATTCCCATGCAAGAACCCAACACTATCTCTACACAGTGTACTTTACCTCCATAAAATGACCACAATAACCCTCTGCATGTGAGCACTCGTGGTGCCTGAATCATGTTTCCCACAATCTGGCCAGGACTTTGCAGTAAAATTCCAGTGGATTGTTGTTTTTGTTATGGTTTTGAAAGAGTTGCAGTTGGTCTGAAAGTGAAGAAAGAAGGCTCAGAGAAAAATAACTGTTTGGCAGACTTTCCTAGTAGTGAGAAAATGAGGAGAGTGCTCCTCTGCTGGGGAACACTCTACAAGTATGAAGGTATTTTTGTGTATTTTTAATGCAAGCAACAAAAAAAAAGTTTTGAGAGCGTGTTTATTGCACAGCAATCGAAGTTTCTTTTGTGTGTCACAAAAAGCTTGAATTGCTAATTTGTCCTTATTGATTGCAAGTTAAAAAGTTTTCCTTGCGAGTCAGAATGTTTTGCAGGTTCAACCGTTTTGCAAGTTGAAAAGTTTTGCGAGTAAAAAAAAGGTCTAAATAAGAGAATCTAGTGGTGGTTTGACTGACCAAACCTTTGGTTTGCATCGATCGCATAGCCACGCCTACAATCCCCTTGCTCCAACAGCTCCGACCACTTTCTGGAGACAGAGCTGTAGTGTGCACAGGCTAGATGGACGTAAGTTGACGTTCTGTCGCTCATTTCAATAGAAATGCTTTTTAAATGTAGTATGGCATGATTTAATGATTATTTATATTTACTGTTGGCAAGGTCAGGTTGGTATAACAGTTCGCTAACGTTAGCCGTATTGGCATGAAGCTTGACTGGCAGTGCATTTGTGCACTCAGACATGACGAGGTAACATTAGGCTAAGTTTAGCTACTCATGTTTAAAACACATTTTATATGATATCCAGCTAAACTATTTTTTTGTGACTGGCTGGCTTCTCCCCTTCTTTTCCCCTCCCTGCAAAGAGGTGCACCATCAGATGTCCTCATCATCCACTGTGGCGGCAGCAGCATGGGGGAGGTCATCAGCGTGAAGCTGTTCAACATGGAGGACGACCTGCACAGGCTTTACCTCCAGCACCCTGGCATGAATATCCTGTTTTCGTCTGTGACGCAGAGTGTTGGTGGAAGGCTGGTGCCAATCAGTGAAAAGTGTTATGGCTGTATTTGTTTGTAGCTTAAATGATGCCATGATTAAGAACCCTCGCATCAGACATGACAGTCCTGGGCTATATTTGAAAAATGGATTTTATTTCACAACTAGGGCAGATTATGTTTTCAAGTACAGTAGCTAATTGCATCAAAGACCACCTCCAAATGCAGTGAACTGCTTTCAGTTGGTAGTGTTACTGCTTTTGAATTTGGCTTTTAGGACCCATTTTCCTGCACCTAAACATAGCTGACAGTCATGGTTAATGTTGTTTATGTTCACAATAGTTGTTAAAAAAAAACAACACTCTGTATCTATGCCGGACATACAGTAGCCGTTACCACTTGTACAGTGTACAGGCCCAGTCTATTTATCTGAATAAATGTGTTTACTACATGTCCACATTTGCAAACATTTAAAAAAATATGGTTTACATTGCAATAAATTTCATTTATATTTGCACTCCTTTTGTCTTTAATACTGACTGGAAATGTTAGATTTCTCATTGTGATATACTGTAAGTGTACTGTCTAGTTCAAACACAAAAAACGTGCACATCCAACAAACTATGCTCACATAGTGCTGAATAAAAGGGCTTAGAGTGAAAAAAATAAGAATGACCTGCACACTAAGTAATTATGAATCCCACAAGGCAGTATCATTTATTACAATGTTTCAAACTGAGGCCTTCTCAGGCATATACACAGGTATCGTGAAGCTTTTACAGTGAGACAAAGACAAACAATCTGCTGATATGCACCTCTGATTAATAGGTGCTTTCTATCAGCTGATTTAGTTTTTTTTCCTTTTGCCTCACTAAACAAGTAAAGCCTCACAATACCTGTGCAATATCTACAAGACTTCTCAGAGGTCGCAATAAATGACACCTCCTAGGGAGCTTCAAAACTATTCATTGTGCAGCTATTTCTTTGAGTATAACTTCTAAGTGGATTTCACACTGGTCTCTTGCTTTCCAGTTTTTACTTTCTGCAAAAAGAGATTCAACATGTTAACCTATAAATACCATCTCATTATTTTCATTTACAACTATTAACTATCATATTTTGTGAAGGGTTTAGATCACTACTATGTTTCAAATTAACATAGGGAACTGATGATTAGTCCCGCGACCCTGTATACAGGATAAACGGTTGACGATGGATGGATGGAACTGATGATTAGTCTTGCCTGATTTTATTTAACAAATGTTTACACTACACAAGAAACAGTTAAACAAATTAAAATCATATCCTGCATTCATGAAGACAGCAGTAAAAAGGATAAAATTGTTGTTGTGTATGACTTGAAATAATGTACAGTTAAGACAAATAAATGAAAATGTGTAAAAGTTGTAACAGTAATTATGATAATGGAACCTGGATAGTAACAGTGGTAAATAAGTAGTGTTCATATACTGTGGGATTAGGTTTGGAGTAAAAATAAAAACAATGGTTCAGCAAAGCAGTAAGGTGAAGGTGCTATCTGGAAGAGAGCCAGCCACAATGGAAGGTTGGACTTTTATATCCTGTAGCGCACTGGGCCCAGGCGCTCCATATCAGGTAGAAGTAGACTAAGCACGGGCCGTCACATGTCCTGCATGAGACAGACGACAGGTTAGAAATACGTGCAGCCGGAGAGCGAAGACACAAAATAAGAAGCACCTATCACACACATATTGCTAGCTAATCTAGCTTTACATTACTCGCCCTACAGCCCAGCTACCAGTCTTCATAAGGTACAGCCACTGATTCTTATAGTGTCCGCAAATCCTTTCTCTCCCTGACCACCCTGTTATAGTAATGTTACCTTGCAAAGTAAAGTCAATTACTTCTCAAAAGTATTATCACTATAAATTATAACACTTCTGTATTACGTCTTGACTTCCATGCATGCTGGTTTAAAAACTACAGCTAGCATACACTCACAATATGTTAGCATCGTTAGCGCAGCTTGGCATTGCTTAATGCTGGCTAATTTGCTAGTTAATTAGCTAACCTTACATGCTGTTGCCGCCACAGATGATGATAAGGACATCCAGTGCTGCACTTCTTCACAGGGAGGGGGGAAGCCAGCCAGACCAAGAGACGTCCAGCAGGGTGAAGATGTTTCCTATGCTCTCTGGCCACCATGCTGGACATAGCTGTCACCAATGATCCTCACTGCAACTATGGGTGTAAAATAAATGAGTGTAATAAATTCTTCTATGTCACATCTAACGTTACAGGAGAAAACGTAACAAGGCAGCAACACTATATATCTACATAACAGTCTATATTTCCAATATAACATTAGCGGTCTAAAGTCTATTACAGTGTATGCTGTGTGACCATAAACTTCAGTTACCGCAGTCACAAAAAATAGTTTAGCTGGATATCATGCAAAATGTGTTTTAAACATGAGTAGCTAAACTTAGCCTAATGTTACCTCGTCATGTCTGAGTGCACAAATGCACTGCCAGTCAAGCTTCATGCCAAGACGGCTAACGTTAGCGAACGGTTATACATGTCATTCTAAAAAAGGAGACAGCGATAGACTCCGTGACCTTGCCAACAGTAAATATAAATAATCATTAAATCATGCCATACTACATTTAAAAAGAAAGTCGGAGCTGTCGGAGCAAGGGGATTGTAGGCGTGGCCATGCGATCGATGCAAACCAAAGGTTTGGTCAGTCAAACCACCACTAGATTCTCTTATTTAGACCTTTTTTTTACTCGCAAAACTTTTCAACTTGCAAAACTCTCTCACTTGCAAAACGGTTGAACCTGCAAAACATTCTGACTCGCAAGGAAATCTTTTTAACTTGCAATCAATAAGGACAAATTAGCAATTAAAGCTTTTTGTGACACAAAAAAAGGCCTGTTTATTTTTAATTACAAACTTAACTAATTATCTAATTTTTGATTGCAATGCAATAAATATGCTCTCAAAACATTAATTTTGCTTGCATTAAAAAGACACAAAAATACTTTCATATACAAGGAGCTGTCAGAAGGAAAGACATAAAGGCAAAACTTTGTACTGGTGAACATATAACTGGAAAGAATTGCAGGTAAAGTGAATTAAACCTACTTAGATCAAACAAGCTAGCACTTACTAAAACAAATTAGAATATTACTTTTATTTTGGCAACCCTTAAAAACAAACTTTGTGGTTTGTAGTATTTAAAAGGCAACATGTCAAAAATTGCAAACATTCCACTAACTAAATACATTTAAAGGTAGAATGTTTAATGTGTGTCCCTCAGTCCATCAATAGAGGATGAAGAAGTAGAGCTTCCTTGAAGGCTTGTCAATCAATGCTGCTGCAAAAGCTGCTCTCCCTCTCTCTCCCGGACCTCTTGTTCACTTTTTTTTGTTTCCTGCAAACCACTTGATCTTCCCTGTCTCTGACTTGGCAGACTGTGTGTGACATTGTTGCTGTACGGGCTGTGACGGTGTACCGTCACTACGGTTGAGAATGCGATTCAACTGCCATACCAACAAGCCTGGCTCTTTGGCGTTGCAATGTTGCATGTTTGGTACCCTGTAGAACCAAGTTTTGAATCTGGGTAGGGTGACTGCTCTCGCCCTTTGCTACATGGTCACACACAGGAGGCAAAGTGTCCCGAAGCGCTGCCCGCTTCCTTTCGGGGCTCATTTTAACCAACTGGGCTGTTCAGACAGAGGAGGTGCTCTACGTGTGTGTGTGTGTATATACTGTATATATATAGGTATATATATGTATATTTATATGTATTTATATGTATGTATATGTACATATATATGTGTGTATACTGTATATAGATATATATATTTATATATATATAATGTGTACATGTGTATATACGTGTATATATATTGCAAATTCTTTGCATCGAGGCAACAACATTGTGATTCCATATGTGTCTGGAGAATCAGAGAAACTCAGGCGAATTTTCAAGAAACAACACATCCCTGTGTTTTTTTAAACCCAAGAACACGTTAATACATATACTGGTACACACCCCAAAGACCGCGCACCCAAACACAAGAAAAGCAATCTAGTGTATGCAATCCAATGCAGTGAGGAATGCACAGAACTGTACATTTGGGAAACAACCACTACACAAAGGCATGGCTCAACACAGAAGGGTCAAGACTCAGCAGTTTATTTACATCTGAAGGATAAAGGACACTCGTTTGAGGACCACCAGGTGCACATTTTAGCCATTTACACTTGGGTTGAGAAGCCGTCGCTGAATAGAGGAGGGGGTCTACGCCACCACTTATCCCCCACTTGCAATGCTGTCCTTTCAACACTTCCGAGGAAACTGAAAAAGCATTTCCTCTTGGCCTCAGGTGAAGATGCCAATGATATACAATCTATGGTTCAGACTTGGCCACGTGTGGCTCTAATGACCATGACGACTGTCGTTAACGTTACCACAGCCAGGAGCACTGAAGAACCAACGGTATCAACTATCCTAGCTAACGATCCCACAGAGGTTAAATAGCTGAATTTCCCTACCAGTCAGTCAGAACTGAAGAAGTCTCTTGGATGACGGAGCTGCACCTTATTGTATCTTGTATAGCACTCGGGTGATATTTGTGTTGGTAAAGCAGTTGTCTGGTTGTTGGTCTGATGTTTGCTGTATGACACACTTTGAATTTCCAAAAGGACTAATAAAGATTTATCATCCTCCTCTTTATTTGTCCCCTCCACCGTTTAAACTAAACCGGTGCTCTTGCACTTCAGGAAAATTACCCCAGTAATTTTACTACAATGCAAGAAAATAGTATCTGTGTTGACACAGACTTTATGGGGGGACACGTTCACAGTAGGTTTGGTCTCCCAATTTAGGTTATGATGTGGAGGTTGACAAGGCTATGTGGAGGCTGATCACACTTCTTCATTATGGATCATGATTATTGACTTCAATGTTCATCCATAATGCTAAAATTGTGAGTTTGGCTGTTGAACGTTTTAAACAATTCCTGAGGATTGAGAAGTGATGACCCCAACCACTGTGGTGGACTTCTTAGGGCCCGTGTCCACCAAAGCGTTTTTACAACCTGGTAAAAACGCCAGCAGCGTGACGAGGCGCTGAGTGTCTTTTCCATGCAGGGCGCTGAGCTTTTTTTCCCAGCCGCCAAGAGCTCAACTTTGCACTCGTCACTGTCACTTTTAACCCAGTTGTCCAATCACAGTGCAGGAGGGGCAGGACAAACATCGCACCAGGCACATCCGATCTTGAACGAAACGATGTGCCTGCTCGCCGAGGTGTTTCCTATCCAGCAATATTTCATGAACGCACGTACGGAGAGTCTGTCCTCTAATGTTTCAGCCTTCTCTTCATGCAAAGCAAGGGCCAGAGCAAGTAAACCTACATACTTTGTGGTCCCATTTTTACATTCAGTAAAATTAAGTACCCACTGCGCGTCCTAAACGCGCCCTAGCGCTTCCAGCTAGGCGTTTTTAGAAGAGCAGGTGGCGTTTTCAGCTGGTAAAAAACACTTTGGTGGACACGGGCCCTTAGGATTGGGCGTGGGGGGGGGCGCCAATTTCAAATCTGGCCTAGGGCTCCAACATTGTCAGAACCGGCCCTGCTGCAAACCCAAACATATGAAAAGCAATGTAATGTGTGCTGTCCAGTGCAGTGAGGAATGCACAGACCTGTATATCAGGGAAACTAAACAGCCAATACACAAATACATGGCTCAATACAGGGCTAAAACTCAGGTCAAGACTCAGTTTTGCAGTTTACCTACATTTAAAGGACAAGAGACACTCTTTCAATGACAACAATGTACATATTTTGGATCGAGAGGACTGATGGTTTGAAAGAGGGGTGAAAGTGGCCATTTACATCAAAATATAGAGACCATTGCTAAACAGAGGCGGAGGGCGAAGACTCCGCTTATCCCCCACTTACAATGCTGTCCTTTTATGTCTACTCAAGAGAGTGAACAAACATTTTTCACATTTGGCCTCACGTGACTCCAGCCACACAGACTGTCACCCAGGAACACTAACGGACCAAGCAGTATCCATCACCTTGTTTACAACCTCACAAAGGTTAAATAGTTGGTATTCACTACCAGTCAGTCGAGAACTGAGGAAGCCGCTTGGATGAGAGGCAAAACATCTTCAAGTATCTTCAACTATGTCCACTTGCCCTTGATTTTAACCTTCCTTGGATAACTATGAACTGGATGACCACACCACTTTCTTTGGGCTGTGTAGGAAAACTGGATTTTTTTTTTCAGAGCACACACAAAACGAGAGCTAGCAAACCATGAGGAAATATTTGCTGAGTTTAACTAAATGTGTATTGGATTACAATCACTACTATCCCTGTAATAATGTTTTTAACTAGGGAGGAGCTTAGATTACTCTTTGTTTTCTTGTGATTCTTCATGTGGTAGACTCGAGTCACAATCGTATATGGAGGGTGTGTGCCCACCCTGCTGATAGTAGTATAGTTTGTGGTTTCTGGTGCGTGTATGGCATGGCAACATAATCACATGCTGCTGACTTGAAGATGTCAGGACCCACCACTAGAGAGCGAGCTCTATTAACAGATTCCCCTCAGCAGAAAGGAGTACCATTTCCTGCTTCTCTGAAGGCATGGGATTTGGATTTCGATTAAGAATCACATAAAAGTAATTCCATGGTGGGTGTATGTATTGGTTGTCATAACTAAATTGTGTGTCCTGTGTATATATTGCTACATATCCCTTACTGTCATCCAGAAACCATGTCTGAGCTGTGTATAGCTGACATGAACTGACCCATCATCAGGTTTAACAACTTGCCTTATCCTTAGTAAGCCACATTCACGCACATCATTCACACAGAGGCACACACACAATTCCCCCCCTCCAGTGGTCCATAAACCTCCATGAAACCCCATTCTCTCTTTGTCTGCCTGGGCAGACTGCCAGCTCAACCCTCCCTCCCTTTCTCTCTCTCTCTCTCGCTCTCTCCCTGTTTTCCTCTGGATCTCTCTCTCTGTGTATTCTGTACATACCAAGCCAAGCCTCACAATGCTGCGTTTACTAAACCAAGTGGCTTTGAAATTTGCAGTGATGTTGCTGTTCCCAGACCTCCCTCTCTGTGGTGGGCTCACTCTGTGAGGCAGTGCAGCTCTCAGACAGCTCTGATGGCAGAGCGGGGCCAGGGGGCTGTGCAAGAGACGAAACCAACATCACCTGTTTGGGAAATCTAGTACAGCGGAGGATAAAAAAAGGAGGAGCAGAGTCTTCATAGAGCTGAGGTCTTGCTGTGTCTGCCCGTCCCGCCCTACTCTCTCTGTCTCGCTTTCTCTCACTCTCTCTCTCTCACACACACATGCACAGACACACTCTCCCCTTGCCTCTCCCTTATCCCCTCCCTGTTTGTCTCCTCCACTCTCCGATGCTGGTGTGGTGAACAGTAGGACACTCTCGGCTGAGCTGCATGGAGGCACAGGGAGGGGCAGGGAGCCCAGGTAATAGCCATTTTCTATTCTTTCTTATTTCTTGTTTAAGATGCATGTTCAAGATGTTCATAATTCTATAGAGAGTTTTTTTAATGGTGGGACTGACTATTGTTTGTCAGAGGAGCTGCTCTTAGATCATGTAACTACATTTTTTTGATTGTCTACTCAAGAGTTGGTCCCTGATAGATGTTAGATTTAAATATAGCACCGGTACACTATCTTTGAATATTTTCCTCATCAAGGATCCAGCTGTGGAGGGTTCATTTGTTCATTCAAGTGTCATGTTTAATCAATTACCAAGCAGTACAGGCCTTTTTATACCCACTCTCTGTAGGTCAACCATGCAAAGGCAGGACAGATTAAATCCAAAATGCAGTACAATAGTGGGCGCATATGGCCTTTGTGTAAAGGCCATCCAGAGG